CAGTCTTTTCTGTGTGTAAGAAAAAATACGTGATCACATATAAATGGTATAAAATTCAATAAATAAGCTCATCTGAAATACATATCCATATATATAGATTAATTATTGAAAAATGCAGGTGGTCAGATACACAAATGCCTCCATTTGCTATTCATAATCCTTATTTGGTATTTAATTACAACAACAATACAAACAAAGTAATTATTTATTCATTGCTAGATCTACTGATTCTTTATAATGAAATAATAATATATGCTAAATAATTTTTATATGCTAATTTTCCCATGCAACCTTGTAGAGTTGGTTGACTGAGACAATGACATGCCTTTAGAATTGTATGAACTAAATTTATTCCAAAAAAAATCTTTTTTTTTTATTTTTATTTTTTTATTATTATTTTTTTTATTTTTAATATATTATTAAAGAGTATCTATGTCATTTACGGTAAAATAGAAAAACACAACTGAAAGGTTGCTGTTTAAGTATGGATACATTGTTTTTTTTTTGTTTTGTATAATCAATTTTTTTCTTGCTTTTAATTCAACAAATCTTAAAGGGAAGCGAATCGAAAATAAAAACTAAATGGTTGTTCCAAAGCTAATCCATCCGCTGTTTGCCCAAAGTTAGTGTTAAGCTCTAAAGATTTTCAACTACAGAACTAATCTCATCAGCTGTTTGTAAAATATATCATTTGATGTAATCTAACCTGACATAAGACACTCATAAAGAGCGAAATTATCTTTCAACGGTTTCACGATTAGGAAGAATACGTGTTTTGATGCTCTAGCGGAAACATTAAACTTAACTTATAACAAAAAAATATAAACTTCTATAGCTATAATACCCGTCCTTCAACAGTAATCCGATCTGAAAGATTTATTCGGAAGTTGCATGATTGCCTTAGATAATGATATGTATGTATATACCAAATCTCGTAAAGATATTTACCATGCAAGGACTAGCTATATGCAATAGTTGTCCGATATCGTCGGTTCCGACAAATGCGCAGATTCTTGTAGAGAAAAGGTTGTGTGGACAATTGATGGACACCTGATGGACTACTTCCCGCATATACAGTCGGACGGACGGTCGGACAAAATTAAGTCGTCTCATCTCGTAACGAAAATTACTACTAACATACCTTAGAAGGTTTCCGATGTTTTATTCGGCGTGTTACAAACTTCATGCTATAAAAAATGTTGTATGAGATGAAGTGATTACTCTAGACTGTACTTCCTACAATTGACAGGAAACCGTAATAGGTTTACTTAACCTTACCCAAATTCTTTTAAAAAATGTATTTAAAAAAGTTTTAAATTACCTTTTTTTTTACTTTTTCCCCTACTTCTTCACTAATCAACTACAAAAAATCACCGTAAATTTGCTTCTTACCGTGAGTATAGTACTACTTTGGTGGGTATTCTCATATAAAATGGCTTTTCATTTCATCTACTACTCAACACCTACATTGTTCAGCTATTCTCTCGCCTTCGAATTCGATTAAGTGCTTGCCACAGCGTTGCTTTATTGATCTATCACTTGACGTTAATCTGCAAGACTCAATAAATCTGTGCGACGCGCAACAACCTACAGCTTTACAGCTTTAATGTGCTTGCATTGTTGTTGTTGTGGCTGTAGGTGTTTAGCATAGAAATAACATTAATATGGCGTGGATAGGTCAATAAAGTCAGAACAAAATCGAGTACAACAAATAATTCGATTTGTGTGCTCGAATTTTGTAATTGTTGTTGTTGTTTGTTCAACAATTTCGCTATCCTCTCCTATCACCTGGAGCGTGTTGAATTGAAAGCGTTTTGAGTTATCAATCAAATGGGCGAGAATGCCAAAGTGAACATATTAGCAAATATTCAACATGTATGTGTGTGTCTGCACTTGACAGTTATTTGACGTGTGCAATTGATTACAGGTGCGTTTGCTAGCTAATCTTCATTAACATCGGCAGCGCAGCACTTGTTTCAACATGAGAGCACTCAATTCAATAAATAAAGTGAGGTTATAAATACATATGCTGATATTTATTTATACTTATGTACATACATATGTATGTACGTATAGTAATAGCTGCGAAACTAAATATTGAATTACAAGTGTATATATTCATCAATTTCAAATGCAATTTAAATTAGCTGCTGATCATTAAAATAAGCTCAAATTTAGTTTCTGTCAAATACACGCATTGTTTTGCTCTTTGTTTGCTGGATGTGACCTCGTGGCGTGAACTTGTTTCTAATAATATATATGGCAGTCGTGGCCGAGCGGTTAAGGCGTCTGACTAGAAATCAGATTCCCTCTGGGAGCGTAGGTTCGAATCCTACCGACTGCGAATAAATTCTAGATTTTTAGTACTATTGTTTTTTTTATTTCAATTTCAGTAAACATTTTCTTTTTAAGTTTTCATTCTTAAAATTTTTTGATGATTCATATTTTCTATATTCATTTTTTATTATTTTATTTAAGTTGTCAACCTTATT